CATCGAATCGAAATTCATGAGAAACTCTTCGCCTTGTTGAATTTTGTATGAAGAACGTAAGAAGAAAATCTGGGGTGACAGTGCACAGATTTCGATGAATCTCGCCTACAGCACCAGCGGTTTATCTTTTTACTCGCCCACGGTTCTTCCGTATAAAATAACTTCCAAGTGTGGAGCACGGACGACGCCAGACGAAGATAACGGTATCTGACCCCTACTATCCGCCTTTCTTTGCCACTATTTCTACCTGACCTGATTTTCTGACCCACTGCCAACGGCGCCATCCGTGCTCTCACTTACAAACATATACAGATTGTATATTCTCTCTCCTAATTGAATTATGTTTTCTTATCAATGAATTGCCATTTTTTTAAATCCGATTTGCTTCTTCGGTAATTTCTTCCTTTTTTCTTGCTTATAACATATGATATATCAACGATAATCGTGATAAAATTGATGAAATTGTTTATTAATTTTTGTTTTTTATTTCTTACTTATCGATGCGACTTTAGTTATCAGAATGAGTAAATTAAAACGAGATAGTAAATATAAGATGTCGCTATTATACTTTGATCATTGGAATTTTGATTATTAATTAAATTTCAATTGTTTTATATTTTATTTTTCGTATTCTGTAGATTCGAAGAATTCATGAAATGAATATTAAGTATGGTTATATTAGTTTACTCATTATAAATTTTGATTACTGTAAAATAATAAAGAAACACGTAGATTGTTACAGACGCATATAATAGATAATATATAATTCAATTAACAGTATTAATTTAATTAATTTAATTTACAGTATTGAAAGATTTTTATATCTCTAAAATTAATAAATATCCGCAGCCGAAATTTTAGATTTTTTTTCTCTATTCCCTCACAATTTCAAATTATAGTTCAATATTATGGTTGAATCATATATACTGTAATTAGATGATATGTATCTTTTTTCTCAGATTATCAAATAACATATTAAACAAGTTTTACATTTACAATTATTTTGCGTTATATGCCTCATAAACTTCAATATAATCATTATAGAAGTCATTATAGAATTAATAGAGCAAGTTAACACAATGCATCTAAACATCATTATATTAATTATTATAAAATATCGATTATTTAAAATTTGATTATTCAAATTTATCGATTTATTTCACTTCATCTCAAAGACATATTTAAAATAGCATATCTAACAATAGAATATATGTATGGAATATACATATATTCTCGAATAATGTCTAAATATAATGCATTTCTTTATATAATTCAATATATTATTATGTATATTTTTCTCATACATATCTATATTTAAAAATTTTATTTTTTTCATAATATATTGATAAATTTAGTTTTTCTTAAATTCAAAAAAAAACTCGTTATTCAAATAAATTTGTTCTAACTGCATAATTTAGATAATTAACATTTTATTTTTATTTTCAATATAAATGATCAAAATTTTATTATCATATATGATATTAATTTGAATAACATTGAAGGATATAATATTTGATATTTTCTAAATTTTGTTTTCATATAAAATTTCTTTATAATCTTTTTTATTAATATACTTATGAATACAATAAAAATAAATATGTTTAATGCACTTTTCGTATTTAGACATAGATATCCGTAATATAATCGTCTTGTTTCTTGCGGAATGATGTTTTTTTATTTTTTTAAACAAATGCTTTTTTATTTATTCCGTAGTAGCAGTTTTTTAGAGTTCGTGGAAAATTCCTGAAAAGCATAGTTTCAAAGTTTACGAGTTTTACGGTCAAAACTGTTTTTCAAACAACGATTAAGCTGAAATCCAATACTTTCTATGTAGGATGACTTGACTTCTAAGAAGTAAAAACATTCTTAAACTCGAAACTGAAAAGAACAAAACTGAGATATTCAAGTGGCATGCTACTTCTCAACGAACCTGACCAGCTAAACTTTCGCTTTAGTATACTAATCAACGAATGAATCTGTTTTCTCATAAACATAGCAAACAGATATCAGTTCGAAAAATTTATTTTTAATGAATTGCTCTTCAAATAGAATGTATTTTCTGTATTATAATTTTGTTCTATCACAAAATTATTGCAAATGTAAAATTTATATCATTTTCTTTCATATGAGAGAATTAGAATTATGAAATCAAAGTGTATCAAGTAATCAAGTAAATATTTGGAGTGTGCCAATAAACTTTTCTAGAAATTTTTGTTATAATATGATATATAAATATGAAAGACATTCTAAATGACCAGTAAAATAAAAAAAAAATAAAATACTTATATTCATTATATCACAAAATTAATTCTCAAATGTAAAACTTAAATTAGTTTCTTTCTTCACATCGAATTATATAAGCTAAGTAAAATTTTATCAGAATATTCTGTCACAGTAAATATACAAAAGATATTCTAACTTGTAAGATAGTTCAGAAGAATGTGCGTCATTAAAATGATTAATTTTAATGAAGAATTTTCCGCTGAATGAAGCGGAAATAAAGTAACGGAAATAAAACTGTCTCGCTATCTTTTCATCTTGTTTTATCTGATACAAAATTAATTCTTGTAATTTGAAAAATAAGGATTAATATAAATATTTTTGGATATCAATTTTTGTTAAAATTGAAATCGTGATTTTCGATATTGCACAAATGGTATGCCTGAACTAAGGCTACTGATCGAAGGGCCATACCTATTACTAATATTATTAATAGGATTGTGATTAATATTATTAATAGGATTGTATATTCGTTTAGATTATGAGCTTTGAACGAACGAATGAATGATGATACTTTAATTCTTTGCGGCTAATTGTAATGATTCTAACTGTATTTTGATGTATACTGTATCGTCGTTGAATTTTATCTGTTTAGTTTTCTATTTTCTATTCTAAGTCAATTGTAAGATTATCGAGACTGTTTTTCCTTCAATTCTTGCTTTCCAAGAAAAATGTACACTGAGAGAGATTGAAGAGACCAATGATCGCATTGAAGGGCATTTCGAAAAATGGATCCTCGCATGGTCGCGTCGCAGCGCTTGGAGGTCTTTACGTTCGCTTCCACGATGATCTATCGCATGATATGCAAATGTGGTTTCTGAAGTGGCCATTGCTGTGGTATTTTTGTTTAAATTAAAGATCTGGAAAGTATTAGGAAAACCATGCCTGCTCATAAATTATTGACAAGTTATTGGAAGTACTCGAACTGTTGAAAATAAAAGCCAGATTATTTGATAGCTTCACAAGCTCTGTCTTTAACAATTTTTGTATTTATTTTAATCTTAATTAAATCTTATAGAATATTAATTAATCTTAATAGAATTTCCTCTTAAATTTTTTTCAATTTTCTGCCTAGAAACTATCTATGATAAAGAATGACACAATTTATGATTTAATAGAATATAGAAATATGATCCAATAATAAGATTCGGAAATCGATCGTCGAAATACCAACTATAAAATCACTGTAGTTAAAGATTGCGTACTGATCATTGAATCATTGCGTGTTTGTCATCCATTATCAGCTTTTGTACGATCTTTTGTCTTCGAAACTTTCGACTTTAGTTTGAATTTCTCGTAATACGTTCAGTAAAAGCTCTTTTCCTTTGCGTCTTTCTTCTCTTTCTTTAAGATTACTTCATTCGTAACTCACTTTCTCGACTTAACGATTAACTTTTACCAAGCGACAAAGCTTCTGCATTTTTTATCTCGTTTAATTCTTTTTTCAATCTCTTTTTCTTTCATCTTATAAAGAAACAATATTTGAATTATGAGAAATAATAAAGTATTAGAACAGAAAAACATGTTTTTTAATGATGTAAAAAATAGTTATTTTTGAATTCGTTTACAACAATTTATCGAGTATTAATTAATTGATAATAAGATTTTTTTAACAGACTTTCAGTAACAGAGAATTAATTACGAATTATTTAGCAATTTATCTCTATTTTTATTAATAATTATTTATCATTAATAATATATGTGTCATTTAATAATATATGTGCTATGAAAAGAAATATATAACATTCATTTAATAATGTATTATCGTAAAATGAAAATTGAAAATGAAATTAGATATGAGATTTAAGGCATTCGATAATCTTGTTATATATTGTCAAAATCATTTTTCTGAAGGATATTTAAATAGTTTTGTAACTTTTTAACAAATAAAGAATAACACCAAAAAGACCAAGATGATTACTACGAATTTGATAATATATATCTAACCTAATTTATCTAGTAAAAGATACGTCTTTCTTATATATAAATATTTTTTTTATTGATAATTTTTTAATAAGCAACGAGTTAAAATCTTTTGAAAATCACCCAAGAAGCTGATCTTGATAACATATGTAAGTTTTCTAAATTCTATAATTTTATATTGAAAATGTTATTATAATTATTGATAGTTAATTTTTGATAGAAAAATAAAAAGTACAGAGATATTAATGGAAATAAAACATATGACAATCAAAAGATATGTATTAACAAAAAGTCAAAAAATTTTATTAATAATAAACGTTAATAAATATACTTGAATTAAATTATTTAAAGCTTTTTTACAAAATAAAAAAAAAAGTTTTATGACAAGTATAAAATAAAGAATATTAAAATTAAGTTAGAATATACTACATAGAGAATAAAATATTATTTTATTCTCGCATTCAAGCAATTATCGATATAATCTATGATAATTGAAGTTATTTGAATATATTAATTTGTATTGTAGTATCTAATTTCAGCATACTTACGAAAACACACATAATTTCATCCTGTCATCATAATTCTACCGTAAAAAGTTTATTTATTTTTATGAAAATGTACAACAAATTCACAACGAAACAAAGAATTACGTGCTTGAAGATATGATATGCCAAACACAGGTTGTTCTATCTTTTTGCAAAAATATCTTATCTAATTATTAAGTAATGACTAGGAAACGCTCGTTAATTTGTACAGGTTAGAATCCTATATTATATCATATTCTATCCTTATCATAGTCGTACGTGGCTACGTGGTGTCCTGTGTGTGACAAACGAGTAAGCAACAAAGGAAAAGATACGAACGGTCTTCTTGCACATATTCGTAAATTTCATCCAAAACGTTCTAACCAATATTTGTTTCAGGTAAATAATTTTTTTTTTCTTAAAAATAATGAATTTTATTTAATATTCTTTGAATTATATCGATTTGATTGATAATATCATTTTCAGATTTTTATTAATGAAAAAAATAATATATACAAGTATATTTTTTTTAGGTTTATATTTTATTTAAAAAATTTTGTCTTATTTTCAAATTTTTAAAATATCGTATAAATAATACCGTATAATAATGTAGTTTAATAGAACGAAATTTTATGGGAGCTTATAAAATTTTTTATTAAAGTTCTATTGAAGTTATTAAGAATTTTTTCCATTTTTAATATTTTTCTACAAAGCCTTTTAAATATGATTTTTTCACTTCTTTTTTATATTATAATTTAATTCTTTCGACTAAAAATATTTTTTGTATTAAATATTATATTTATTATTTATAAATTTAAAATACCAATAGAGGCATTCATTAATGTTGTTAATATTAAACTTATTCTTATTATTTATATTAATGTTTATAAATTAGAAAAAAAAGTAATAAAAAATAATTATTAATGTTATTTAAATAGTAAAATTAAGTATAATTATTAATTATAAACTTATACTTATTATTATATTAATATTTAAACTAGAAAGAAGAGGGGCCAAAAATAACGACCAAAAAAACAGCGTCAAAAATTACAGAACTGCAGTCGTTCGGTAACACAGACAGCAATTCTAAGAAAAGCGAAACAAAAAAAGTTTATGCCACTCGTGGTAATGTTTCTTAAATACTGATCATTTGAATAAATTAGAAGGATATCGAATCACTTACTCCTTAAATCTCTTGTACAGTGGACACATGGAAATCCCATAATGAAAAAAAAATTTGTCCTCGATGTCATAAAGAAGCAATACCGACTCTTCATACTCGAGGAGACAAGTTGACGACTTCTCATATTGGTGCTTTGTGTCTTTTAGGGTAGGTAGAATTATTATTAATTATTATAAATTTCGTACAATAATAATTAATCTTTACGTAAATCTTTAATTGGAATCATTAATTTTCAATTATTTTTTTTTTTGAAGAATATAATTATCATTTTTGCAACCATAAAAATTTTTATTAAATTATTTTATTTTTATAAAATCACACTATCCACATTAAAAATATTTCGACGAACTCAGTTAACGAGTTTAAATTTTTTACTTGATACGCACGTATGGCGATGATTTGGAATTTAGGGCAGATAGATTTTGGCTGGCGTGCAAGTAACCAACAATTAATTTCACGCTTCCTGTCTGCTCGTTCAGCTTTTCGCGTCAGGATAAAAGATTAATGAGTAACCGCGAAACCTTCTTCAATTTATTTGCAAATTCATCGCAAATATTCTATAAATAGAATATGAATAATATGAATTCTGTAGAAATGATATAATTTTAAAAATTTTAATAAATTTCGATAAAAATATAATATCAAAGTTTATATTTGAAAAAATTTATTATCGAATTATTAGGAATTACTAAATTATTAAAAATTGGAAAGTGTGAATAAAAATTTTAACGATGTTCGTAATTTTAACGAAATAAAATTTGAGGTGAAATAGTGAGATATGAAGCGGGAAAAAAAATTAATTTTTAAATATTATATTATAAAATAGTTTCTAGAATAATTTCTGAAGTAAACTTCAGCTTCGGTATAACGAACTAAAACATGTTAAATTAAATTATATTAACAGAAGCTGCCGCAAACAAATGCATTTATCAACATCAGGAATATAACTGTTTTACTTTTCTCGAAATTTTAGGATAGTAAAAATTTGAAAATATATATGAGAAACAAATAAAAATAAGAATAATGCAACTATGCTTTTCAAAAAATTATCGTTTTTCCACACATAATTTATTAAGATTTATTTCGTTTTTTTGTTTTCATTAATTTCTATTAATGAAATATATAAGATAAATTAAATCTTATATAATTTTAAATATATTATATTATATTATAAAATAATTTCTAATAGAATTTATAATAATATCGAAATTATCTAAAATAATTCTAGAAATATAAAATAATTGTTTAGTTTAACTACTCTATGAATATATCATATTTTGTCCTCATTGAAAATTTTGTGTTTTTGTGTAAGAGATATAGCAACAAATTTATTTTGTTTATATTGTTTTGTTTATAAAATTAATACAATTTTTCTATATTTTATAAAAATGAATAAAAATATGATATCAAGATGACAGAAAGATTGTTAAACTAGATATTTATCTAAAAAATAATTAAAATAATAATTAAAATAATGTCTAAAGAAATTCGTTTTTTAAAATATTTTTAATTCTAAATTTAATTTCATTTATACATAATTCATAACAGATGTTGGCCGCTTTGTTTTGTACCATTGATAATGAAACGTGCGAAGAAAGTTCGTATGTTCTGCCCTCTGTGTGGATATATGTACGGCAATTTTCAATATAAAAACACCGGATTAGCACCATGCAAAACAGATTCCGAGGAATCGCAGACCCGACTTTCATCTCCACCGAGAAGCTTTCGTTTATGTGCAGAAAAAGAAGAACAAAAAAATTGATAAGAATATATTTTGATCGAAAATTCGAATTCAAAATGATATATTCCCCGACATTATAAATAACATTAAATAATATTTTTTTTCTTCTAATAAATCATTATTTATTAATAACACATTTCTATAAAAGAATAAATCATAAAAAATCCATTACATATATTTACAATAATAACATATATTTCACGTATATGTTATTCATTGTATATATTAAAATACATACAAGTTATTTCATCATTTCTACTTATTTCAAGTAATTAAATTTAATCATTTCAAATAATCTCGAATGACGAAGTAACTGGTTATTATCATTCACTATTTAATGCACTATTTTCATATAATAGTTGATCAATTTTCAAAAAGATTCAGGATACTTAACAGAGAAAATACATACGTCAACTAGAGAAAAATGAAATATTATAATATATATTAATAAAAAATAAACTATATTGTTTTAATATTTATTTTAATCATCATATTCTTCAAATTCATATTTTTCATCAAAACCGTATTTGCAAATAAAAGAATTTTTAGAACAACCAATATTATATTTATTCACACATATTTCTATAAAATATTAATTATATATAATAAATTATAATGTTGACAAAAACTTCTACGAAATATCAATATTAATATTAAACAATTTATTGTGTGTACAATAATTATTAAGTAATAAAAAAATCTATAGATTCTATAGATGACTTTTTAGGTTAACTCAATTCTAAATGAGAATCTAAACATTCAACTATTTCTATTCGTCTAATATAAACAAGCAATTTGCGACATTATGTATCCGCAGCAATTCTCCACTTCGTTTATATTCAATTTTTTTGGTAATTCACAAATGAATAGTTACATTAATTTACCGCATTTCTTGTTTGCTTTCATATTTGCTCAATTTAATCATGAATGCTATAATCCAATGAAATCGTAAAAAAATTATATTTATATGTATTATATGTATTATTAAAAATTATATTCTATCATAAGAAAGAGATATTAGATATATATTTTTATTTATATGCCAAATTTTTCAAAGAAATATTTACTTTCATGTTTTATTGATTTGAGAAAAAATGAGACAAAATTTTTTAATTAATTTCATACGAATAAAATCTTTTAATAAATTAATTGCAAAAATTAATGAAAATTTAATTTCTTGAAATATTTTTATAAGATTGTATCCTATTATGTAAGTCATTGCTGTTATTATTGAGATAAAAATGACATTTATCGAACAAATATAATAGAAAAATTAAAGATAAAAGTAAAAATACATAGAAAAATTTAAAAATATTATAGTTGAATAATTGAATATAATTGAATATAAACTTAACATAATAAAATTGAATTATAATAAAATAAATAAATATTATATAATATTATATATAATATAATTATATTACATATTTATATATTTATAATTATATTAT